AGATCATTTGCATTGTTTCTTTTCTATTTCAACTGTGTATGTCAGAACACTAAACTTAATTTTTCACAAATGGTTATTTTTATTGAGGGGAAGTTGGGTGGCTCATTATGTTTGAATTAAAAGGAGACTATAGGCCTGGCCAGTTGGCTCAGTTGGTTGGAGCATTGTTTCATACACCAAAAGGTTGTGGGTTTGATTCTCAGTCAGGGCACATACGTAGGTTGCAGGTTTGATCCCCATTCATAAGGGAGGCAACTGATCAATATTTCTCTCTCACATTGATGTTTCTCTCTCTCCTTTCCTCTCTCTCTAAAAATCAACTAAAAAACATATCCTCAGATGAGGATTTTTACCAAAATATAAAGAAGAGGACCCTTAGGTTGGAATCATCATATATATAATGCTTTTCTCATGAAGCAGTTCTGCACAGCTATTCTGTAGTTAATCGGGTGGCCTACCTATGTGTGTGTATGTGTGTGTGTTTTAATTGTGGTAAAATATAACAGCCTTATTTTGTTTTTTGTTTCTTTTCTTTGTTAATCCTCACCTGAGGATGTTTTCCCATTGATTTTTAGATAGAGTGGAAGGGAGGCAGGGAGGAAGAGAAAGAGAAACATTGATGTGAGAGAAAGACATCAATTGGTTGCCTCCCACATGACCCTAACCAGGGCCAAAAATTGAACCTGCAACCCAGATATGTGCCCTTGACTGGGAATTGAACCTGAGACCCTTCGTTCCATAGGCCGACGCTCTAACTGCTGAGCTAAATTGGCCAGGGCACACAGCCTTGTTTTTTTTTATTGCTAGTGACTTATTATCACATATAGTCCAACTTCCATGAGTATACATATATCTAAAAATCACTTGTACCTTCTTTTTTTCATTTGTTAGTTCTTTTTTATTTATTTATTTATTTATTTTTATCCTCACCCGAGGATATTTTTCCATTTTTTGTACAGATAGAGTGGGAGGGAGAGAGAGGAACAGAGAGAGAGAGAGAAACATCGACGTGAAGGGACACATCGAGTGGCTGCCACCCGCACGACCAACCAGGGCCGGGGACAAACTGCAACCGAGGTACGTGCCCTTAGCGGGAACCAAACCCGGGTCTCTCCGGACCGCAGGCCAACGCTCTAACCGCTGAGCCAAACTGGCCAGGGCCATTTGTTAGTTCTTATGTCAGCATTTGTTATGATAGGCTGAGTGATGAGAAAAGGATGAACTAAGCAGAAAAAATAGGGAGTAGGCTGGTTCTTGCTCTGCATAAAGTCATTAAATAGAGATAGGCTCCTTTCTGTAGGTCAAGCACTATGTTCTGCTTCGACCATTTGGTTCCCTATGTTTTTTTTTCTCTTTTTTAATATGTTTTTGTTAATTTATTTAGAGAGAGAGAGAAACATGAATGTGAAAGAGAAACATCGATCTGCTGCCTCCTGCCATCTCCTACTGGGGATCCAGCCTGCAACCCACGCATGTGCCCTGAGTGGGAATTGCACTGGGACCTGTGTCCATGGGACGACACTCAATCCACTGAGCCACACCAGCAGTTCCCTGAGCATTTTATGAGAATTAGAATAAAATAGAGATATCTCACTATCTCCACCTTTATCCCCACTCCCACAGTCATCATCCAAAAGCTTTGATTAAGATAGGTTGCAGTTCGCCCTGGCCAGTTTGGCTCAGTGGTTAGAGCGTCGGCCTGCGGTCCGGAGAGACCAGGGTTCGGTTCCCGCTAAGGGCACATACTTCGGTTGCAGTTTGTCCCCGGCCCTGGTTGGTCGTGCGGGTGGCAGCCACTCGATGTGTCCCTTCACATTGATGTTTCTCTCTCTCTCTCCCTCCCGCTCTATCTGTACAAAAAATGGAAAAATATCCTCGGGTGAGGATAAAAAAAAAAAAAGTGCCCTGGCCGGTTTGGCTCAGCGATTAGAGCATCAGCCTGCAGACCAGAGAGTACTGGGTTCAGTTCCCGCTAAGAGCACGGACCTCTGTTGCAATTTGTCCCCAGCCCCAGATGGGGTCATATGGGTGGCAGACGGTTGGTGTGTCTCTCTCACATCAATGTTTCTCTCTCTCTTCCTCCCTCTCTCCCTCCCGCTCTATCTGAAGATACATGCAAAAATGTCCTCGGGTGAGGATTTAGAAAAAAAGATAAGTTGCAGCTATGAGGAGTACTATATAAGTAATCTACCTTTTCCACCCCCCTCCTTTTATTGATTTTACAGAGAGAGGAAGTGACAGGGAGAGAGAGATAGAAACATTGATGAGAGAGAACATCGATTGGCCACCTCCAGCATGTCCCCCACCGGGGATCAGGCCCACAACCTGGGCATGTGTCCTGACTGGGAATCAAACTGGTGACCTCTTGGTGCATGAGTCGATGCTCAGCTGCTGAGCCACACTGGCCAGACAGTAATCTACCTTTTAAAGGAAAATCTAAAATTTAAATTTGTAAATAAGTTAGGTTACCTAGAGTAATCATATCAGAAGAGGATTCTTTGCTCTGTTGGAGGATTTATTATAGTGTGTTACATAGGAATTTCCTTAAGTATTTTTAAATATTTTACGGAAAACTGACTTTTTGATAAAAGAAAGGCTGGGAAGAATCTTTATGTGTAGATAGTGGTAAAACTTAAAAATTAAGAGCACAGCCCTGGCTGGCGGGGCTCAGTGTTTAGAGTGTCAGCTATGGACCAAAGGACACGGGTTTGTTTCCTGGTCAAGGGCACATACCTCAGTTGCAGGTTTGGTCCCCAGCCCTGGTTGGGGTTGTGCAGGAGGCAACCAATCAATGTGTCTCTCTCATATCCATATTTCTCTCTCTTCCCCTCCCTCCCTATCTGGAAATCAATGGAAAAAATACCCTCAGGTATTTTAATATAATAATAATAAATAAAATAAACTCCCAGCCGGTGTGGCTCTGTGGATTGAACATGGTCCCATGGACTGAGAGGTCCTGGTTCGATTCTCAGTTAGGGCACCTGCCCAGGTTTTGGGCTCAGTCCTCAGTAGGGGGCATGTAGGAGGCAGCCAATTGATGTTTCTATCTCTCCTTTCCGCTCTAAAAAATAAATAAATAAATGAAAACATTAAAAAAAATTTGTGAGCCCTGGCCGGTTTGGCTCAGCGGTTACAGCATCAGCCTGCGGTCCCGAGAGACCGCTAAGGGCATGTTCGGTTCCCGCTAAGGGCATGCACCTTGGTTGCAGTTTGTCCCCGGCCCTGGTTGGTCGTGCTGGTGGCAGCCACTCGATGTGTCCCTTTCACATCGATGTTTCTCTCTCTCTCTCTCTCCCTCCCACTCTACCTGAACAACAACAAAAAAAATTTGTGATAATAAAATAAAAAGAAGATATATGTGTCAAAGTCCAGTCAAAAGACATAACTACATGGTGATTTGTATTTTTTTTTTATCCTCACCTGAAGACATTTTTGCATTTATCATCAGATAGAGCGGGAGGGAGAGAGGGAGAAAGAGAGAGAGAAACACTGATGCGAGAGAGAGACATCAAATGGCTGCCACCCACACGACCCCAACTGGGGCCAGGGACAAAGCGCAACCGAGGTACGTGCCCTTAGCGGGAACTGAACCCAGGACTATCTGGTCCGCGGGCTGACGCTCTAACTGCTAAGCCAAACCGGCCAGGGCTGATTTTTATGTTTTAATTATATAGACATATATATAAAATTTCTAAACTTATATGTATAATTTATAAAGAATTATTAGTTAGTAATAGTGGATTAACTACTAAGGTACACAGAGAACCATAAAGAATACAGGAATAAACAATATAGAAGCAGCCACTACTTCTGTGTTACAAAACTTAATTTGATGCCAGCTGACAAGAAATGTTTATAGAGTACAGCTTCGGTATCACAAGGAAGGGCACAGAAGAGTGGATATGAGACTAAGAGGCAATGAATTTACAACTGGTACAATAAATATCTTTGAAATAGTGAAATGCAATTCATTTGATAAAAGTTAGATTTATGCAAAACTGTTGAGTAATACTTTTAATTCATAAAGTTAGACATGCCTATTGCCAGATGTAATGCACTTCCCTCTTGGAACTTAGCTGTAAGAAGAGCACACAGATGTGAGAGGAAAAGGTTATGAACAAAGTTTTTTTTAAAGCACATCATGACATAACAAAAGTAGATGATTTTTTTTTTTTTTTTAGCATTAATCAATTGTACTACCTTTGATATTCAATATGTGAAACTTCAGGTTTTTAACTGTCCTCACACTAGAGGTCAATCCTATTCTTACCTCTCTAGCTGATGAGTAGAGGTGGTAGGTTGAGTAAAGCCCAGGAGGGACCTATTCCCTCATCACTGCTTAGCTGGGGTGAGGCATACTTTGTATGCTTACTGTTTACTGCCTACTGCCAGGGAGAGCTCTGTACAGCCAGCCTAGGGAGTGAGAGGCACTCCTGGTCTGTTAGTTGCTAATGTTCAGCATTAGCCTGGCCAAGAGAAGAAACAAATGAGAGGAATGTAGTGGCCCTACACCAAGCATATTAATTCAATCCACTTTATTTTTTTTTTTTTTTTTTTTTTTTATCCTCACCCGAGGATATTTTTCCATTTTTTGTACAGATAGAGTGGGAGGGAGAGAGAGAGAGAGAAACATCGACGTGAAGGGACACATCGAGTGGCTGCCACCCTCACGACCAACCAGGGCCGGGGACAAACTGCAACCGAAGTACGTGCCCTTAGCGGGAACCGAACCCGGGTCTCTCCGGACCGCAGGCCGACGCTCTAACCGCTGAGCCAAACTGGCCAGGGCTTAATTCAATCCACTTTAAAGGGAAAACTTTGAAACCTTAAAAGAGTTTTAACACTGATAATTGGTTTATATCAGTTTGTAGTAGAGAGCAAGATTAATAACATTCGAGTGAAAAACTGAGGTTTTAATTTAATAAGTCATCTTAATTCATTTTAGTTCATCTCAATTTATTCTCTCCGCTGGACCTCATTTGCCTTTTTTACCAAAATAGGTGACCCCCATGCCTCCTCAACAGTACACTTCTCAAATTCTACCACCTCAGTGTTGGCCACCCTTGCAGCTCTTGCTGAGGCATCAGCTCCCCTCTCCAACTCACACAGAGCCACAGGTAGGTAAGGGATATCTGCTGGTTGAATCATCATTTCTTCTTTTGTTTATAAATCTCCAGCAGATTTAATTTGCATGAAATAGTAAAGAATTATGGTTAGAGACAGCTAGGAAAAAGGATGTAGAGTCATGGAGCATCAGAAAGAAAAATCACTGAGTCATATAATCAGACATCTGAATGAATATTATCAGAGAATGACTAAGTTATTCCTTTAATTTTTTTTTTTTTTTTTTTTTTTTTTTGCAGTTTCAAGTTTGTTTGCCCTGACTGCATTTGCTTCAGGTTGAAATATTTAGTCTTATATTAGCAGATTTTTTTGGACATACTCTATATTAGGTTTTAAATGATGCTGTCGTAGAATGATTCAAAATAGCAGCCTAAGTATCTTGTATTATATTAAAGCATCAAAATACATGGGACTACTACCTCTCTCACTGTCATATCCTCAGTATCTCAGGTTGGCTTGAATTTTTTTCCAATGGAGATGTTATTTTGGTATTTCCAATGGAATTGGGCAGATACATGCTGTGTAGTACCTTTCTGATATTTAAAACAAAAAGATTTCAAGTCAATTGGAGATAGTGGTCTATTGGCAAAGGCCAAGAGCTTCATACAGGTAGGGGCAGATAGTTGTAGGTAGGGCTAAATAGTCATCTAGGAGTCTTTCTGGAACCCTCTACAGACCGCTCCATCTAAAATGAAAGCAGATTGTTCTGATTATTTTCTGCCATTGACATTTGGGTAGTGAGAACATTCCTTCAAACCCATTTTTCCAGCTGGCAGCAGTCATAAAGATCTCTACTCAGATGTGTATGGATGAGCAGCAGGGCAAAAGGAGAAGCAATATAATAAACTTGTGCTTATTTTCTTTTGATTTTCTCTTTGATCTTGAATAAATCCTTTAATTTTTTCAGATCTCAGTTTCCTCGTTTCTAGCATGATGGTTGGATTAGATTATTGGGGTCCTTTCAACTATTAACGTTTAACTGTTCTTTGTTTCTAAGGGGTGTGAATGCTCTACTTCCGTTGAATTACACGAATATGTCTAATATGGTTAGTCCATACACCACTTACTGCAAAGTTCTAATTGTGATTCTTTAGACAGAGGAATTCCATAGTAGTAGGAACTGTTTGCCCTTATAGTTATTAGGGACATTGACTAATCAAACTGAAAATCTTGACTCAGCATAATACACGTAAACTTCTTAGAAAGGTGCTAGCACATAGTAAGTAGTCACCATTAGTTGCTATTAATGTTATTGATCTGTCAGATGGAAGAAGCCACCTATCATTTTTGTCTGTTAAACTTCTTCAGTGCTCTACTTAACATATTGTTAATTCACTATTAAATGCCTCTATTTCCTTTTAGAAATAAATCTCTCCTAATTTATAGTTATTTTTCTAAGTTTCATAGATTTAGACTTTTAAGATGTTTTCTGAAAAAAGAGATTTAAGATCAAATATGTTGGGGAAACTCAGCATATCTTATCCCATATTGGAAAATCCCAGTGCTCATTAGTTTGTTGGAGTCTCTGATATTTCCTACAAAACAAACAAGAAAGTTTAAGCATATTTAAACCAGACTTTTGAGAATGTATTTGTAAATAGAACCTATCTTTAGTGAAAGCTATTAACATTATGTTTAATGCATTCTTTATTTCATTTTTCCTCTGACTTAGCATTGTCAGAGTTTTCTTCTGTGCACTGTTAAATCTAACTTTTTTTTAAAGTTTTCCTATCAATGTTATCAATTTCAAGGAGGCTGACATTGCTATACTTCTATTTTAAAAAAGCTAAAACTTTTCATTTATTTTTGTCATCTCTAGCTAATTCAGAGGAAATCATAGAAGGAAATTCTGTTGACTCATCAATCCAGCAAGTTGTGGGGAGTGGAGGCCAGAGGGTGATCACCATAGTGACCGATGGAGTGCCTCTGGGTAATATACAAACTGCAATCCCTACTGGAGGCATTGGCCAGCCATTTATTGTAACTGTGCAAGATGGACAGCAAGGTGAGTTATCTCATTAGACAATTGCTTATGAAAAGATATTTCAGACACTCAACTCTCCTCTAAAAATGAGGCATTAAGGCGTGTAGTGGGAATGGGAGAATGCCAGATGCCAGATGCTAGATGGGGCAAATAACTTCTGAAAAAGAAACAGAAACCAGGCTGGCCAAGGTGAATTTCCCTAATATATATAAAATTTGTAAGGAAAAAAACAGAGAGAGCAAAAAATATGAACCAGTAAGTCACAGAAAAGAAAATACTGATGGTTCTTAAAAATATGAAAATATGTCCAGCCTACTTCATTTATAATATGAGAAATGCAAATAAATACTGCACTGAGATACCATTATAACATTATGTTGTCAAGGGTGTAGAGAAACAGGCACTCTTATGGGAGAGCATTATTGCCAACGATATATCAGATAAGGGGTTAATTTCCAGAACATATAGAGTACTCATACAACTCAACAAAAGGAAGACAAAGAACCCAATTAAAAAATGGGCAGAGGACCTAAATAGACACCTCTCCAAACAGGGCATACAAATGGCCAAGAGACATATAAAGACATGCTCAACATCACTAATCATCAGAGAGATGCAAATTAAAATGACTATGAGGCATCACCTCACACCTGTCAGAATGGCTGCTGTCAGCAAATCATCAAACAACAAGTGCTGGGAAGGGTGTGGAGAAAGGGGGACTCTAGCACACTGCTGATGGGAATGCAGACTGGTGCAGCCACTATGGAAAAAAATAAAGTGTTTCCTCGGAAAATTAAAAATTAAACTGCTGTTTGACCCAGTGATCCCACTTCTAGAAATATACCCTAAGAAGCCTGAAACACCAATCAGAAAGAATATATGTACCCTTATGTTCATAGCAGCACTATTTACAATCGCTAAGATCTAGAAACAGTCCAAGTGTCCCTCAATAGATGAGTGGATAAAAAAAGCGGTGGTACATTTACACAGTGGAGTACTATGCAGCTGTAAGAAAGAAAGATCTCATCCTTGAGACAACATGGAGGGACCTGGAAAGTATTATGGTAAACGAAATAAGCCAATCAGAGAAAGACAAATACCACATGATCTCACTTATTTGTGGCATATAATGAACAAAATAAGCTGATGAACAAAATAGACCCAGAGACATAGAAAGAAGTAGGGTTCAGACTGACAAACCTCAGAGGAAGGGGCCGGGGGAGGGAAGAGATAAACCAAAGAACTTACATGCATATTTATATAACCAATGGACATAGACAGTAATGCTGGGGGCGGGGAGGGGCGGAATCAGGAGGAGGGTGTCAGTGGGAGAAAAAAAGAGAATCATCTGTAACAAAAAATAATAAAAAAAGAGAGAGAGAGAGAGAGAGAGAAAGAGCCCTGGCCAGTTTGCATTTATCTTCAGATAGAGCGGGAGGGAGAGAGAAAAACATCGATGTGAGAAAGACACATCGGCCCTGGCTGGTTTGGCTCAGTGGTTAGAGCATCAGCCTGCGGTCCAGAGAGACCCGGGTTCGGTTCCCGCTAAGGGCATGTACCTTGGTTGCAGTTTGTCCCCGGCCCTGGTTGGGTTGTGAGGGTGGCAGCCACTCGATGTGTCCCTTTCACATCGATGTTTCTCTCTCTCCCTGTATCTCACTCTCTCTCTCCCTCCCTCCCACTTTATCTGAACAAAAAATGGAAAAATGTCCTCAGGTGAGGATAATAAATAAAATAAATAAATAAATAAATAAATAAATAAGAGAGAAACAGGCACTATAATAAATCACCAGTGAGAGTGTAAATTAATGCATCCTCTAAAGAGTAATTGGCAATATTTATCATTATTAATGATGCACATACCTTTTGGTTAAAAGTTCTTTTTCTAGCCCTGGCCGGTTTGACTCAGGAACAAAGGAACAAAGGCCTCTGACAGCACATCTGTCCAGGAGAAAGCCCCCTCTCCAGCCCTCGCTCCAGTGCCAAACAGCTTAGTTCTTCCCTGTATGCCTCTGGTGCCCCTCAACCTGCCTCCCCTCCAAGCTTAGAGGGAGTAAGTCCAATAAGTCCATGCGCGGACCCTTTAAGGAGCTGCCAGGGGCTCCTGCGTCAGCCTCCCTGAGCCTCAGTTCCCGCTGGTTTTTCCAGCCAGAAGTTATGGGGACTTCTCTTCCTGGCACTGGAACCCTGAGTGGGGCGTCTGGTGTGGGACGGGGACCCCTCAGTCCTCAGGAAGGACCTTCCCTGCTGAGGTATCCTCCTGATTTTTATCCGCCACACGTGGGTGTGGGACCAGCCTGTCCGCCTCTGCCCCTCCTACCAGTCTCGATGTGTCTGCTTCTTTAATTCCGTAATTGTAGCTATTGTTTTAATTGATTTTTTTTTTTAGAGAGAGGAAAGAGCCTCGGTTGTGGTTTGTCCTCGGCCCTGGTTGGGTCGTGGGGGAGGCAACCAGTCGATGTGTCTCTCATCAGTGTTACTCTCTCTCCCTCTCTCTCTCTCTCTTTCCCTGTCTCGCCTTCTCCCTCCCTCCCACTCTATCTGATGATAAACAGAAAAATATCCTTGAGTGAGGATTTAAAAAAGAGAGAGAGAGAGAGGAAAGGAGAGAGAGAGAGAAACATTGATGTGAAAGAGAAACATCAATCGGCTGTGTCCTGCACGGCCCCCACTGGGGATGGAGCTTACAACCCAGGCATGTGCCCTGACCAGGAATCAAACCAGGACCTCTCAATCCATGGGCCAATGCTCAGTCCACTGAGCCACATTGGCTGGGCTAATTTTTTATTTTGAGATCATTATATATTCATGTACAACTGGAAGAAATAATACCCAGATATCCCATATACATCACCTAGTTTCCCTCAGTGGTAACATTTTGCATAACTATAGTACAGTATCACAGAAAATTGACATTGATAAAATCCACCAACCTTATTGAGATTTTTCCTGTTGTTTTTTTGTTGTTGTTTTGTTTTTTAATCCTCACCTAAGGACATTTTTATACTTATCTTCAGACAAAGTAAGAGGGAGGGAGAGAGAGAAAGAAACATCAATGTGAGAGAGACACATCGATTGGCTGCCACCCACATGACCCCAAGTGGGGCTGGGGTCTAACCTCAACCAAGGTGCGTGCCCTTGGCCAGAATTGAACCTGGGAATCCTTGGTCCGCATGCTGACGCTCTAACTGCTGAGCCAAACCAGCCAGGGCAGAGATTTTTTCAGTTTTATATGCACTCATTTGTGTGTTTGTGTATATACTTGGTTCTATACAATTTAATACATGTGTAGTTTTGTGTGAGTACCACCACAGTCAAAATACAGAAGAAGATTTTTGCCCTGGCCAGTTTGGCTCAGCGGTTAGAGCGTTGGCCTGCGGTCCAGAGAGACCTGGGTTTGATTCCCGCTAAGGGCGTGTACCTCGGTTTGTCCCCCGCCCTGGTTGGTCCTGCGGGTGGCAGCCACTCGGTGTGTCCCTTTCACATCGATGTTTCTCTCTCTCTCTCTTCCTCTATCTCCCTCCCACTCTATCTGAACAACAAATGGAAAAATGTCCTCCGGTGAGGATAAGAAAAAAATACAGAAGATTTCCATCACAAGGATTCCTCATGCTACTCTTTTATATCCACAACCATCTCCCATTCCACCCCATTCCTAATCCCTGGCAACCACTAACTCATCTGTTCTTTATAGCTATATTTGTGTCATTTCAAGATTGTGATATAAGTGGAATCATATAGTATGTAACCTTTTGAGATTGGCTTTTTTCTCTTAGCATAATTTCCTTACGATTCATCCAACTTGCGGTCTCAATCGTTCAATAGTATTATTTCATGATATGGATGTACCACAGTTTACTTAACTATTCACCAAGGACATTTGTTTCCAGTTTCGGGCTATCTGTGAATAAAGTTGTTATGATCCGCCCTGGCCAGTTTGGCTCAGCAGTTAGAGCATCAGCCTGCAGTCCAGAGAGACCCGGGTTCGGTTCCCGCTAAGGGCGTGTACCTCGGTTGCAGTTTGTCCCCGGCCCTGGTTGGTTGTGCAGGTGACAGCCACTCAATGTGTCCCTTTCACATCAATGTTGCTCTCTTTCTCTCCCTCCCTCCCACTCTATCTGAACAAAAAATGGAAAAAAAAATGTCCTCGGGTGAGGATAAAAAAAGTAAATAAATTAAGTTGTTATGATCAGTCATGTACAGGTTTGTGGGAACGTAGATTTTTAGTTCTCTGGAATAAATGCCCAAAAGTGAAACTGTTGGGTCATATTGTAATTATATGTTTAGTTTTATAAGAAACTTCCAAACCGTTTTCTAGAATGAGTGTACGGTATTATATTCCTACCAGGAATTTTTGAATGATCCATTTTCTCTACATCTTCACCAGCATTTGGTGTTATCATTATTTTAAAATTGTTTAGCTGTCCTCAAGGGAAACAAAAGAAAAAATAAATAAATGGAACATCAGACTAAAATGTTTTTGCACAGCAAAGGAAACCATCAGCAAAACAAAGAGCCTACTAAATGGGAGAACATATTTCCTAATCATACATCTGATAAGGGGTTAATATCCAAAATGTATAAAGAACTCATACTAGTCAATACCAAAAAAACAATCCAGTTGAAAAGACCCAGAGGCCCAGCTGGTGTGGCTCAGTTGGTTGAGCATCGTCCCATGCACCAAGAGATTGCCTATTCGATTCCCATTCAGGACATGTGTCCACGTTTCAGGCTAGATCCCTAGTAGGGGGTGTGCAGGATGCAGCTAGTCAGAGATTCTGTCTCATCAGTGTTTCTCATTCTCTCTCTCCCTCTCCCTTCCTCTCTCTATAAAGTAAATAAAAACATTTTTTTAAATGGGCAGAGGACCTGAATAAACACTTCTCCAAAGGGGACATACAGATAGCTAATAGACATATGGAAAGAGGCTCAATGTCACTAATTATTAGAGAAATGCAAATTAAAACCGCAATGAGATATGACCTCATACTTGTCAGAATTTCTATCATCAATAAATCAAT